TTATTAGGCCTAATCTTGGACACTAAGCTAACCTTCATACCACATATCAAGTATTTAAAAAACAAGTGCATAAAAGACCTGAATGTTCTAAAAGTGTTGTCACACACTACGTGGGGAAGTGACAAGAAGTGTTTAATGAATTTGTATAGAAGCCTCATACGTACCCAGCTAGACTATAGGGCAATAGCATAATACAGTCTGCGACACCTACTGCCCTTAAAATGCTTGACCTTGTTCATCATCTAGGCATTCGTCTCTCTACTGGTGCTCTTCGCACTAGCCCCGTTGAAAGCCTGTACGTGGAATCGAATGAATGGTCGCTTTACCTACAGAGATGGTACATGTCTTTTAAATATTATCTTAAAGTTAACGCAGACAGGGAACACCCTTCACGTTCTACAATTAATGACATGTCAAGCCTTGCTGTGTTTGAGAAACGGCCTTATATGAGACAGCCCTACTCGCTCCGTGTGAGAGGGGGCTAGCGAAGAAACCGGTGTGCCACTTGAACACCGTTTTATGGCTCTCGCAGTATGCCTGCCACCGTGGCAATGGCAGGTGATAGATTGCGACGTGTCTTTCTTGGAGGTTACGAAGCATACACTAATCGCACATATCCAGACATACTTCCTAGAACTACAACAGAAGTACACACGTACTGAGTTCTTTACCGATGCTTCAAAGCCGACACTTCTGTCTTGTACGCAGCCGTCGGCCCATTCTTTTTGGAAGCCGGGGTTCTGCACTCTGATTCAAGCATTTTCACCTGGGAAGCTTATGCGATACTTACAGTCGTCAAACACATTAAAGAAATAAAACTACAGAAGGCAATAATATATACTTAAACTCTTAAAAAGCACAAAAACGCTGACATTGTCTCACTTTATTCGCTCTTTTGCATAGTCTACTCATCTAAACAACATTGTAGTCTGCTGGGTGGCAAGACACCGCGAAATTCAAGGCAACATTCTGATGGACCAGCTAGCTGGATCCGCCAACAAAACCGCTTCCAATACATCGATACCAGTTCCTGCACTCGACTTGAAACCTTTTCTAAAACGAAGGCTTAGGGGCTATTGGCAGAGCACATGGGACACACACACAGGTAATAAACTGCATGTTATCAAGCTGCAACTTGGTCATTGGCTGCCAGTATCAAAATCAGGCCACACAAAAGTAATACTTACAAGGGAACAGGACATACACACACTACACATTCATTTCTTTTGTCTGGTGGCAATAAACATTTGTGTGATAGATGGGGAGAAGCACGCACCGTACTTCACATTTTAATCCAATGTAAACAATTAGACACACTGAGAAGACAACACTTTCCATTACCCTACCGACAACAAATACCACTCCATCGGGCAATGTTCATCAGTAGGGAACCACTTTTCACACATAAATCGATGTTGTTTTTTTTTTTTTTGAGAGATGTCCATACTTTCCATGTCATATACAGTGAAACCTCGTTAGTGCATACCCGCTTTAACTAACGGTTGAAACGTAGTTGCGACGAATCCCTGACTGAGTTCCCTAGAGACTAATGCATTCGTGAATCGCTTAAGTCGTAGTGTTCGGCCTATGCCTTCCGGTTAGTGCGTACTAACTGCATACCGCGATAACATTTTGCGCGACAAAATTTTACTGCTTCGCTGAACTTGCAGATGCCACAATGTTCTGTGAACGATTTTACGTCAAGTGCTGAGATGAGCCGATAAGTTATTACGAGTTTCGCGTGATTGCGGCGATGACGCTGCGAGTAACCATCAAGGAAAAAAAACGAAGGCGAGGTAGCGACCACCAACAAAGGCGCCGGTATGACTTACAGCCGGTGAAAAGTTTTATCGCATTAAGCATCCGCGGTTATCTCCTCAGGCATGCGTGTGGCGTAGCGTCGCTTTAGGCTTACTGTACGTTTTTAGTGGGCAGCTACCTAAACGCGCTGGGCCGCCGATCGCTGCCGCTTTGTTTTGCGGAAACGTGTAAAAATGCAAGGAGCTCGGTGTGACGGAGTTCAGTGCTGTGAATCGCGGGCACCGAGAAACCTTGCTGTACTATGCCAACACGCGCATCATACAGCAAACGTAGCGCTGTTGTTACCATGCTGCACACTTTTATTTAGTGACAACCGAAATGCGCCTCCGTCCGCTGCCAGGACTGCTAGAGCATCATGGAGAACACATTGCTTGCGAAAAGCTCTTCGGCGCTGCGTTAACCCAGCAAGCTACTCGCCAAATCTGTACAGCAAGCGGATCGGCAATCAAGGTGTGCGCTGGGTGAGCGAAGCGCTGCACACAACTAACCATGCAATTAACGATTTGGCTCTTTGCGACTATACCACGTTTTAAAAAAGCAAAATGCATCAGTTTTTGCTTAGAAGCAGACCACGAAACAACTTTATCACAGACAGCCAATTGTGTCTGTTCTGTACACGCAGGAAGGAAAGTTGTTTCCTTCTTCCATGGTTCTGTAGCTGTACCAGGCTGCATATCCCGGATCTCGCAGTGGTTTCAAAATGCTCATTGGCGTCTCCATCGCGTGCTATCGGGCGGTTCTTCAAGAGTCGGAAACTTTTCTGTACCTTGGCAAAAAGAAAGAAATGGCTTTGCAATGGGCACTTTAGGCAATATTTCCCGCAGCATTGCGTTTCTTCTATTGTTGGCCGCGATGGTGCATGTCAGGGGATGCAAATTTGTAGCTGGTGATTGATGCGTAGTTGGTTTAGTGCATAGTTATGCCGCCATCCCTGGCAGGTATGTATTAGCGGGGTTGCACTGTACCCGGGAATTTTGTAGCATGACCTCTCTCCAGTGAGCTCTCCGCTGTGGTGGCTACACTGAACAAAGCACTTGTCTCGCGGCCCTTGGACGCAAGGGTGTGGATAATTTAGACACTTGTGCTAGTGCCATACATGTCCACCATGATTTTTATTATCACAAACTTTCGCCATCCATTGCCTCCACATACATTTCACGACGTGGTCATGTTTTTAATACTTCTATGTGTACCCACCCCAGCACGAGGAATTTTAATGCCCTTATACAGTGGCTTGTCACAATCATTTTTCACATCTCTAGTTCCATGAACTGGCGCTCTTTGGCTGGCCCTTGCGCCACAAAACACCATCATCATCGATGCTGCATTCGCGACCTAGTATTACTTTGTGCAGTGGAATTGGTAAAGCTTGCAGATTTTTGTTTTCTAGCATACGTGCATGCATGACTTTTAGTGCTAAAAATAATAAATAAGTGGTCGTGACAATGCTATGCATTGGGACTGTTGTTTTCCCATCGGTTGTGTGCAGCATATGTAAATTGGCCGAAGCGAACGGCATGTCAGTGCGTCGCTAGAGTGACTCGTCGATATACATTTTGATCGAAGTTTTGCTGGTACACTGTCGATTGCATTCGGATCCGGTAAAAAAAATGTTGCAAGTGCCACGCTTAACTGTGGCACTGCCTGCGAGGAGTTTCAATAAATATTTATCCATAGTGGCAGAGGGAATACGCGTTATCCATTCACAGGACACTTTTTGGCCTCAGACAGATTGACAAAAATCGTTTGCTTCAAGCACCAGTGCTAAACAAGTGACGTGGTGGCATTGTTTCAACTGCTGCAAGTAATCTAGTTCTCGTGGCAAATTGAACAACGCAGAAAAAGCTCGATTGCAAGCGTAGCTGACCACGAAACACAATCGTCCTCCGGAATGCAGACCGTGCAGCAGCTTGCCCAGCAAGCGGCTTGTTACGTCACGGCTAGCGAGTGCACCAGTGTTGCCCGACTTTCAGGCCACTCGCTCGTTTATAAAAATATTCGATTATAAATTAGCAGCTCAACCAAAAAAATTTCGCCAGCTTCTCTGTGATCGTAAAAGAATCAACCCACACAAAACAGATTATGGTCGAAAATTGGTGGTCATGACCCTTTTATTAGCTATAGAAATGTGCTGTGCACTGCTCCCTGGTATGTACTGTCACGGCCAACACCACCACATGCACGTGCTACTTTTTTTGCCGGTAAAGTGACTGAACACCGATTATTCGTCCATCGCGATGTAGCAAGATATTTTTGAGCCAGAATATGGACCATAGCTAAAAGTTCTTAAACTGCCTGTGCCGTATTTGAGTTTTGTGACATTAGGCACACAGTGAAGCAAACCGAAACAGAGCTACTGAGTGCTGCATCCATTGTAGACAAAATCCTGGTCAATAACGATGTGATCTTAGGCATCGTCTGTGCAGTTCTGAAGGCACATGCGTGATCTACGCTCTCAACTATCCCTGAGCACCGCAGCAGCTGCAAAATAAACCAGGCTCACTTATGCACCGGCAATAACACAGTTGTAAAGAAAGATGACGATAGCAAAACTGTTGCTTGCTGATGATGCAGTTTCTATCAGTGTGAGCAGTTTCTATCAGTGTGATAACAGGGAGTGCAGTTGAGGTTGAGTAAAAAACGAAATAAGTTTGCCACAGTTGCTGATTCTTTGATCTGCAACAATGCGATTGTGGATGTGAACCATGCCTTTTTGAAAGCTTGTGGCCAATGAAGTGTCACTTACGGTGGTAAAAACAAATACGCATGAAGCATTCTGTTTTCCCTGCCATTCCTGACAGTTTGCACTGAAGATGATAACAGTGCAGGAGTGTGCCAACTCATCTTGGTTGTCGGTCTGCTATTGCCATTTTTGTTTCTTTGAGCCACACATTTGTAGCGCTGGGTGCACTTCAAGGATTGTCCGATTGTACTGGGTTGTGGCCAGGTGTGACCGAACTAACAAGAATATGATTGATCGATTCAAATAGCTGTATTGTGATTGAAATCGCCTGTGAGGGGCATTAATAATAATTTTATTTTCTTTGGAGTTGCATATTAAGACAGCGATACCTCCGTTTTTGCAGGCCATGTAGTGCCATTTAAATATTGTTTGCAGCTGTGGCCATTGTCAGATGTAAGGTTTCTATTGCATCGTTTTAACCATGAAGTTTCCATAGGTGGACCATGGTAACGAGCATGTCCAAGCACCGCAGTGCAGCTGGAGTTGTTGCTTTTGACGGCCACATTTATGCCCTTGGTGGACATGATGGACTCTCCATATTTGGATCAGTGAGTACTTGAGTTTGCAAAAGCTTGTGCTGTAGTGCACTAATTTAAGTTTAGTTTTTGTAAATGATTACTTTTATAACTGAACCCAAATTCATGCTATTTTCCACTCTCACAGCTAGTTGTATTTTCATCTACTTCAATTCATTTCTATTTATGTCATAATTACTACACTGCAGTTAAAAACTAAAATAATGTCTTCTGTGCTTTCCTTGGATTCATTGTCTATTAGCTTCATTAGAATAATCGTAGAGACATAGTCAAAGAAAAGACTAGTTGCAAATGCTGTAGTGGTTGCAAAAGAGTGGCAGTTCAGGCAAAATTTTGTCTATGTAGTGCAACCAGCATTAAAGAAAAGAAGTAGAGACCTAGTGCTTTTTTTTTCTTTGGTAGACACAATACTAATGAGATTTAACAGACAATGATTGTAAAGAAAGTTTAGGGGACATTATTTGTAGTATGAAATAAATGTGAAGCAAAAAAAAGTGGAGGAAAAGATCAATTGCCGCTAGGAGGGACCGAACCTGCAACCTTCAAATGATGCATTTGATGATCTACCAACTGAGCTACAGCAATGGTCATCCCCCTGTTAACTTTATGGGGTACACTAAAAGAAAAGATTTAGTAAAAAAGGGCATCTTTTCTGTCTCACAACAATAATCATTGTGCGTCTCTTTCCTTTCACTATCGCTGCACGCCTGGCACTTTCAGGTCACGAACGAGATACACGTTATCAGCGTGACATATCTTTATTGATAGGAAAGTGGCTAGCCCCGAGTTTACAAAAAAACTTGAAAAAAGGAAGTGCAAGCAAGCTGAATGACGATTACTGTTTTGGGAGAAAAAGACATTCTTTTCACTCTATCTTATTTTAGAGTGTATAGTAGATGTTCATTTAAACCCATGATTGTTAATCAGTGTAATTAGAGAAATCTCTTACGGCACCTATGGAAATACTTATACAAACACCTTAGCCTAGTATCTTAGCCAAACTTGGTATTGAAACAAGAAATGATACTTTCAGAGTAATTTTTCTGATGATATTCTGAAAAATTCAGAAGGCTCCCACGTGACCAAATTTTTTTTTTTTCGTTAGATATTCTAGCAATTTACTGTTTTCAATGTGAGAAATCAGCACAATTTTTTTTTTCGAGAACATCTAATATGGTTGCCAAAATGGCTACAGTGTTTAGCATAGAATGACCCAGCAGCAATGTTGTGATGATATTTTGACAAAGTTGAGAAAAATACCACTTTGACCCCTATTGCAGTATTGTAGCAGTCCAAAAACAAATATGGCTTATACATCATTGTGTGGTATGCTTTGTTGGTATAATGTGCATAAAGCTGGAAGCATGAAAGGATTTTTAAACTCAGCAATCACAAACTTTGCACATGGCTGTGCGAAGTTTGTCTTTGTCTCACCTTCATTTCATAGCACATCACTGGAGGATTCCCGCAAGTGCTTTTTTGCAGCAACTAACGCTTGTCAGTGAAGTAATACTGCTGTATATTGTCTTCCCACTTAGACTATCAATGGACATGATAATATTAAATAGCTTCATAGTCCAAAAGGGCAGAACTATGGTGTAATCGCGGGCGTGCAGGACACTTCTAAAGCGTCGTGTTTGATTTCTGATAATTAAGTTGCATCTTCTAATGTCATAATTCGTGGCATGATTAAAATATAGTTTTTCTGAGTTGTTCTTTAAGATATAGGTCACTGTGAGATTGTTCACCATTGGGTTGCCTGATGAGAAGATATATCATACATATACATGTTTGAGATTATTTGAAAGCATGAACATAAATGACACATGAAGTCAACATTTTCTAACAAAACATCGAAATTTTGATTCCCCTTAGACCAGTGGTTCTCAGCCATGGATGTGCCGGGGACTTCTTGTGGACTGGTTGAAGTGTTGGGGACCCCTTGGAAAGGGGAGTGGAGCGCATAGGTAAATTAACACGACTGGAGCATAAAACAGGTGCCTTTTATAGCTAGCAAAGACATCAAACGTGTCCTTCATTTTGGACAGTTCATCAATATGTGGCACAGTCGCTATTAAACAGAGTTGCATATGTGAAAGAATAAAAAATGTAAAAAAAAAGCAGGTGAGGGCGTCGCGGATCTTAGAAATGGCTTCGCGGACCCTCTATAGTCCGCAGACCCCCATTTGAGAACCATTGCCTTAGACCATCAAATAGAAACTGTCAGTGCAGATGCCACTTTGTTTCTGTGACACCTGTTGCTTTCCCCAGAAGATTGACCCCCGCATTTCACCATTTTACCACTATTCGTGTTTTTCACCTTGTGTACAATGATATTACATAAATTACAAGAAATTGTAGGACTTAACAAGGCATTCACGAGAATTCAGCACTGATGTGCTGTGCAGTGAAGGTGAGACAAAAAAGCAAACTTTGTTCAACTTTGTGGTCAACTAGTTGGTGACATTTTTTTTCTTGTTTAAAACGAAAAAAACTCTTCAACTTTTTGCGTAGTATACTAATGAAGTGTACTACACAATGATGTATAAGCCATATTTTTACTTGCACCATTACATTGTGAAAATGAAGCTACATTGTGTCTCAAAATGCAATTTTTTTCAACTTTGTCATAATATTGTCACGTTCATGCTGTATTGAATCTCACACTGTTTTTATAATGTATTATGTGAATTCATGAAGCCCACAATCTGAACATATACTGACAAAAAATGTTGTGCTCTTTTTTAAAAAATGTTGAACATGCACCATTTTGCAACACTTTATCTAGGCCAAAATTAATGAAAGTTAAAACAAAAAAATATGTCATAGTCATGATATGTCAGTGGTTTCTGATTAAGAGAAATATTTTTATAGTTATGGCTCAAACTATGAATATTATATTCTTTTCAGGTGCCATGTGTGCACATAAACTTGGAAGGTTGGTTGATTGATTTGTGGGGTTTAACGTCCCAAAACCACCATTTGATTATGAGAGACGCCGTAGTGGAGGGCTCCAGAAATTTCGACCACCTGGGGTTCTTTAACGTGCACCCAAATCTGAGTACACGGGCCTACAACATTTCCGCCTCCATCGGAAATGCAGCCGCCGCAGCCGGGAATCGAACCCGCGACCTGCGGGTCAGCATTCGAGTACCTTAGCCACTAGACCACCACAGCGGGGCAACTTGGAAGGTCTTGGGAGGTCATAAAGTCTTGGTTATTTGCCTATGCAGGTGGAGCGATATGATGTGCAGACTGGTCAGTGGAGCCCCATGCCATCAATGCTGACTCGACGGTGTCGCCTTGGTGTGGCAGTGCTGCGAGGGAAGATTTATGTCTGTGGGGGCTATGATGGGGCCACATTTCTCCAGACTACAGAGGCTTTTGACCCTGTGACCCAGCAATGGCAGTTTGTAGCACCAATGAATGTCACACGTAGCCGAGTAGCACTTGTTGCCAACTGTGGCCGGCTTTTTGCGGTTGGCGGTTATGATGGTCTGTCTAACCTGAGTACAGTTGAAGTCTATGATCCTGAGGCTGACCAGTGGATGCCCATAGCTTCAATGTGTGCACACGAGGGTGGTGTTGGTGTTGGAGTTTTGCCACCATTATAGGATTGTGCTCAATATGCCAATGTGGCCTGTTATATGTGCCCTTGTTTATAAAACAGTCACTGCTATTCTAAGCAGTTGTAGATGGGATAAAGGAATGCTGAAAAACTTTGCGTTCTACGTCTTCACAATCCTTATTTCCTTATTCCACTGGTAAATATAAATAGAAATAAAAAAGTAGCAACACCACCTGTGTAAGGACCTCTGCATTTTATACTCTTTACGTAACAAATACACACTTGATTAGTCATTATCTTATGGTACAGTCATACGGTCAATACGAAGAAAACGTTTAGTTGGCCATTGTACAAGCTTTGTGTAGTGAGAGACCAACATCAAAAAAGTTTTATGCATTTATATTATTTACGTATTCTGAATAAATTTTCTTTGTTTGTGTGCATATTTTTATACACTGATAATCAAAAGCATTTGGTATAGTACAATGAGATGTGCCATGAATGTATATTCTACATAGTCATTCATGTAAAGCCCATTTCAACACATAGCTGATTGCATTTGGCTTGCCTCAGAGAACTGATGATGTTGGTGTCAATTGCAGATGGCAGCTAGTTTTAAAAAAATATATTAGGGGTATTTTGATCACCGAAACGGGGACTTCCTTGAGACGCGTTGGCTCGGCACTTTGGCTAGCTCAGAACTTGAAGACCAAGTTTGGGCCATCCAGCAGGCCCAGGAAGCGGCACAAAAGCTAAATCTTACCACGACCACCTGGGTGGCCTAGGCCGTGCCGCTAATCTGCAAGTTTTAAATAAAATTTTGTCCCTTCCAATCCATTGCATAAACTGTAATGTCCTAATTATTACAAATATACACTGACACATCTAGCATTTATAATATGATTTCAAGCCATATACATTCATGTTATGTTTATGTTTCTGTGTATTTGGTATTACATAAATTTTTGTCACAGTGTTATACTACGAGGGGGCAATATTTTAAGACACGCGTTACACATGCTGCTATCAGTAAAATCTCATTATATCTGCCCATTTTTTGGGGCCACATGTGCAGCTATTTGTTCCATGTTCAGAGATTAGAAATGAGCTGGAAGACATTTCAGGATGCCCATAACCTGAAGTGGTTGCGTACATTACAGTTGAACCCTTTCACAAGAGACCTGCATTGGGGAGCAATGCTTGTCTGTTACAGCAAATGCCCAGTAAATGAAAATCTCTTAAATGGAACTGTTGTTTAGATGGAACAATACTTCTGACAAAATTGGTTTCATACTTGTGTTCTGCACGATTGTTCATCTCTCAGTAAATGGAATGCCTGTTAAATTTAGCATATTTTTCTGATCCTTTAATGTTCTGTTTAATGAGAGTCTTCTGTATATGAGTGAGGTCTAACAGACAGTGGTGCCAAGGAAAGTATAGGGGATGTTATTAGTTGTAATGTAAATGTGAAGAAAAAAAAAAGAGGACAAAAAGATAACTTGCCGCTGGCAAAGACCAAATGCGTTCAATTCTCGCCAGTGGCAAGTTCTTTTGTCCACTTTTCTTCTCATTTACATTACTACTATTAACATCCCCTATACTTTGATTGGCATCATTGTCTGTTAGATATCATTTATATTGTGTCTAACAAAGCAAAAAAAGCCCTCAAGTTTCCATTTCTTTCCTTTACTGTATATGAGCTTCTCTTATAAGCAGAATACCATGTATGCATTTTCTTATCTACCTCTACTTAATGTAGGCAACTAGTCTCTAATAAAGGGATTCGACTGTGTAAGTATTCTAGTGTATTTTAACATATGTATTCTAGTGTATTTGAAAGCAAGGAAGATAAGCTACAAGGCTAACCTAAAGCTTTAACACTCCTTTATGCCATTTTTTTGTTGTTGTTTTTCGTAGTATGAAACGTTTCTTTGTTATATTACCGACTTGTTGGGAACAGCTTCTGCTACTGAAACATGGGAGCTTTTCACCACATTTCTGAAATTGAAAACAGTGGCTTAGGATCCAAGTGGTTTAGGGAAAAAGCCATCTTGGGATGCCTGTGGCTCCAGAAGAAGCAGTTATAAAGGCATCAAACAAATATATCATTTTCCTGGCTTTTGAGGATTTTGGACACATTTCTTGAAACACCCACTATACTATGTCAATCTTCAAAAACACTTGAAAAAGACTTTGCACTTACAGCCTTTATCAATGGACATCTGTGTAATGTTTTGCTTCCTCCTACAATGATGTGAGGTGGCACGACAGTGTAAGATGCATACTCTAGGTGAGGACATCCATAAAACACAATCAACCAGATAAAGTAACAATGTTGTGTGCTTATCGATTCACTGACTGCAGCGTAACTCTATCAGCGAGACGACATAACTCTAAGACAACCAGCACTTAGCAGGAAATACAGGGTTTTTCCAAAAGTGGTGAGACTAATTTTTTTCACTGCAGAATGTCATAATGGAGGGTAATCTTACTGTACTGGTTGGGTGGTGGAGCACTACCAGCATACCATTATTCTCCAAGCCTTCACGGCACGTATATCAAGTTTAAGGGGAACCCTTTTAAAGGTGCCTTGTCTTCTTGACAATAAATTGTTTGTTAGTAGCATTGTGCATTGAAGTTTAACTAGGTAAAACTGTGTGTGAGACCCATGACATGATAAAAACTGCTAATCAGAGTGATGCCATGAATCGATCAAGTGTTCCTGAGTGGCACAAATTGTTTCGGGAGGGAAGAGAACAAGTTGAATATGTTGAATATGAACAATGGTCAAGATGCCCTTGAATGGCAAAAAGTGATGAAAACTTCGTGAAAGTTCAAAATATTTGAACTCGTACTGCAGATCAATTGTGTGCAATATTTTCCTAAAACTTGGGATTGAGAAAAGTTCGTGCAAAATTGGTGCAGATATATTAAACAATGACCAAAAATGACTTTGCCTGAGGAGCTGCAGAAATGGCAGGCCTCGCGTGCTGGGCAATGTTACAGCATGCACCCTTCAAGCAGATGGCTTGCTCGTTCCATCTCCACTTTGGCCATGTTGATAACCAGTGCTTACGTGCTTTTACTTGCACTTTGAACATACAGTGCGTGGAACGATGTTATAAATTTTGACTTAGTACGGAGCATGACAGCGATGGCAAAAACCTGCCCAGAGTGTCCAAATTATTGCTATTACAATAAAGTAATAGTCAGAAGTTTTGATGAACTTAAAATCTGCTAATCATCAAATAAAATATTTGATGAACTTAAATAATTACTGCGGCTTAAGATTTACTAAGCAATAGACTTTAAAGTGAGGTCACTGTGTTACATAAAAAGGTAGTACAGGGCCCCTTTAACAAACTACAATGTGCTGTGGAGAAAACTTGCTCAAATAAAAACACCAAAATAAGTGGAACAGTAATACTGATTTTGGTTGTCTGCTTATAGGAACAATGTTACAAAACTGGGTTTTAATGGAACCTACCTTCTTCTGGATCCGCGGTTAAGGGGGCAGACTGGTCTTAAACATTTTTTGTTCATTTCTTCAGTGATATTAATTAAACTGCACAGGATTATGTGGTTTTTTCTGCTGATTTCAAATATTTAATTAGTTTTCTTGTAACTAATCTTGTTACTGAGATAACTTAAGTTCACCATCTATTGTTTAAAGCCGCCATATAAAAAATTGCTTAATTAAAAATGATATTTAAGATATTCTAACATAGACTAATGACTATAAAGTGAAAGTATGCAAGAGTTTTTTGTTTCTAGGCCTTTCTTGGTTATTTTACAGCAAAATGAACTATTCATTTTCAAAAGCAGTTGGAATTATATTACAATTTTGATGAGTAATTAATTAAAAAGGCTTGTGCTCTAAATTCTGCTCCCATTCTTGCATTCTACACACATACAGGTTTCCATAGCAAAAAAAAATATTGTTGTACCTGCCCTAGCTGCAGAGATATTGAGGCCTCAAAATCGAACCGCCATAAATTTTTTTGAGAAAAATGGAAAAAACTGAAAACACACAGCTTCATCAAAAAGCAACAATCATGGTGCGCAAGTTCTTCAATCCTCATAAAGGTGCTCATAAACTCGTAGCAGAGCTTCTAACACAGGTGTTGTCAAATTATAAAGAAGCCTCGAAGTCGGTTCCCCATTCTTTTTCTGCATGTTAACAGCACCAAGAAGCTAGACAGTTAGAATGACATTACAAAAAAATTACCACTTTGTGCTGTGTGAAAATTTATAGAGAGAGAGAAAAATACTTGTAGAAACCAAATATGTCAATTTTAAAAAATGAAATTTTTTGTCACTTTTTGGTCACCAAGACCATCCTGCCCCCTTAAATTGAACTTGCCAATGTCTACCTAGCTGTCAATGGAATGGCGAAAATCTGGCAAACATGTTGAGCAGCAACCCTATCAACAAAGACTATCAGATCCTTCAAGCAGTTATAGGTAATGTAAATTAAAGCTGTGGAGCTTATAACTGTGTCCTATTGAAGACTTCTAGGCAAGTAATGAATTCTTGAGGTGGTAGTGAGCACTATGGAGTAGGTAGGCAAAACCTTGCAGTCTCGTTACAATGTCTGTGTTGTTCACAACATTTGTAAAAGAAGACCTCAGATGATCCCTTTGTTACGTAATATCAGAGAATATTGAAACTTGTGGCAGTAATTACATTGACTGGAATGTAGATATCACAGTTCTAAAGCATATTATTGTCTTGGACCAGACAGGAAAAGATGCAGCAGTCTGTATTGGGTGCAACTACTACACTGAAATAGGTGAATCCTTTATGCATAAATAACCCATTGTAAAAGATATTAGGTGTGTGCACTAATTTATTTTTTGGTGTATAAATATTGATGTGGATGCTTGTGTGTGTGGTTTTACAATTTTTGTTTACTTCAAATAAAACTGAGGTTGTCGGAACACATTATTTTTGCCTGTTTCGGTGAAGTCAACACTAGTACAGTCGATTATCACTACAACAAAACTGATGGGGTGCATAGAAATAATTAGTCTCGGTAATTTCTATATATAAAATGATGAAGTGAATTAGCTTAAAGGGCCCTTGCAACACTTTTTGAGCATGGTCAGAAAACGCTGCCAATCGGTACTAGAGGCTCCCGACGACACGCGAGCCAAATATTATAGCGCAGCATGCCGCCTGGAATTCACAATAAATTATCAAAGTCAGCTAAAAATTGCTTTCTCTTCTCTTGGCAAATTACGGAAAATGCTCAAAAACCACTCGTAGAAAGCCCATCTATCAGCCATTGGCTGATTTGAACATGGCACGCTCGGTCATTACAGAGATCGCCACGGGAGGCCATAACTTGTCCATGCATGCGTGCGATAACACTAAGAAAACCATGCATTCGAAAAAAAGAAGAAAAAAGTGCTCAAGGTCACTAGGCGCCCATGAGGTATTTTCTTCTCCCCTTCCATCCCTCCCTGCTTAGCTTCCAGCACTTTCGTCGGGACGAGAGTAGGCAACTGCAGCATGCGACAAATCTTTGTAACTCCGCTCGCACTGGATGAATTCTTAAAATTTTTGCAACATTGAATTTGTGAGTCAATAAGCTCTTCGGGTGAATTCATTCCATGGTTACTTGAAAAAGTTTTTCAGGGCCCCTTTAACACAGGGGAAGGGACAAGTCCTACTCACAACTGTTTGATAGCATTGATGGAATAGTTCAGCATTCACCACTGCTTTTGGAAGCAGACTAGTTCTGCAGTCAGGTAGCTGCCAGTAAAAGAGAAACAAGGAACTGCCAACCTGGTTCTAGACAAAAGGGTTTAAAGTCGCAAGGATGCTTGAAGGTCCCTGCCAGAGGAATTTTTACCGGCAGGCTTCAAAATAAGGTCACCTATCTCTTTTTATTAGCCCGAACAAATTGGTAGGTACTTTGAGAAAGCAGGACTTATGTTTAACATATTGCTTAAAAAGGTGATAAGAGCATACACCTGGTGTCCCACATTTTCACTTGTGGATATGTCACCAGATTTTCAGGGACAGCCATTTTCAGGTAAGGGCGGAAAAGCTGCTTCTAGATTTGCAATGGTAGCCTTCTTTATTCATGAAAACAGATCAATGAGCTAGTGAGCCACCAGTTGCATATGACCCCGGAGTTTGCTGGAGTTTGACTTGTAAAACTGCCTTAGATGTACACATCCTTTTCCTTCTACTCTGTATGTATGCACATGCACATCACTACTGGTTGTATTATATATTTAGTGCCTTCCTCAATATTTGACAGCTAAGTTACACCTGCCTACTTTATTGCGCCAGCTTCAATTTTTGCACTAACTCATCTCTTGTGTTATGAAAGACCAATTATTTAGCCCAGCAATATTATAATAGTTGTTGGTGGACCTACAACAAATTGTACAGAGGCTATATATATATATATATATATATATATATATATTCATTGCAAACTGGTTCTTTAAACTTTCAATGGTGTGCAGTGGAAATTCTGAGAAATCTTATCAGTGTACAGCTACACAAGTCTATGGCTGATCCACTGATTCAGAAATAAATGCCCCTAGCAATAACCCAAAAGCACATACACGGAGGCAAACACATGGCTAACAGAAAAAGTTTTATTTAGCCATTTCTAATTTTTTGTGGTTTATCACAACAATGGTCGACATGCACAAGCCACCTGGAAATTTTAAGAAGAGATGCGATAGAAAAAATGTTGGTTTGATCTGTAGCCTAGGTAAATAAAATTTTTGCTGTCAGGCTTTTATGTCAATTTCAAACATGTCATAAATTTTATAGTAAGTTGCACAGTTTTTGTTTAATGCTACGTGTGTAAAGTACAGTTCATTTTGGACAATCTTTTTACACCAGTAAACTTTTGTTGTTCTGAGCCATTAATGGCTCACATTACTTGACATAAACTGTAGAATACAAATAACTATCAAGAAAGATCATAGAAGACATTTTAATGGACAAGAAAAATTGTAAATTGAGAATTAGAATCCTCAGCTCATACTAATTGCTTGCTTTAGCTAGGTAATTATACAGGCCATATCAAGTTTTAATGGAGATACTAGCCCCCTTCTCATGTTAAGGAATATGTGAGGGAAATTTCATCCCAGTCGAGCTATCGTAAGTACCAAAAACATAATGAATGAACTCAATAAGTTGCCCAAAAATTGTGAGAAAAACGAAATTTAAAGGTATAAGTGAAAGCTCATCGATGCAGAAAAGGTATGTCATTTAGGATGATTTCTTCCATTATAAGAGCTTGGAAATCATGGTTATTTTGAGCATATGGCTTTATTGAACTCAAGCGAAATGCAATGGCAAGCACCCAGAAGACAATTTCCACAGGACTCTAGACAATGAGTGCTTTAGTTCACAGTACCCACGTTGTGCTCTTTAACCCTCGCAGACGCTGCCTATGAAGAACTTTCTGTAGATGTGTCAAGTCGATACAACATTATTTCTAGGCACTCACTAGTCAACAAAAACAGTGTCGTAATGTGTTAATTTATATGCAGTATAGTCGTAGGTCGGCGAGCTCACTCATGAGTCAACTCACTCAGACTTGGATCAAGCCGCGAGTCTGAGTTAGTTCAGTTGAAAATAATTTGGGTGAGTGTGAGGCCGAGTGAGTTCGGCCCAAGAGAATTTTGCCGAGTCTGAGCCCGAGTGAGTCCAAAGCGCAAGATATATTTTCTTAGTGAGTTTGAGTGAATTCCACATTCTTCTGCCGACCTATAGTCCAAGGTACTCAGCTTCAGCATTACTATCAGCTTTACCTGAATTAACGTTTATACTCGCGTCTATTCATACAAATTAGAAAGTAGTGCTGTTCATATACCATTTCAATATTTATTGATCAGATGCATAAATTGCATAAGTGGTGCCTTGATGTTTCCCCGCCTCTGCAAGCTCTTCCAGGAAAGTTTTTGATAAATATGTTATGTAATAATCTTTTCCGAGAAGAATTATCTAACCGGTTTGCAAGAACTCATAACTCGTATTCAAAGGTACTCTATGAAACGGCACCAAAGATGTTAGTGTTGAAGACCATTGACAGTTTGGTTTCTAATTCCAGGCTAACAGGCTCATGAGTCAATTCACTCAGACTCAGGTTAAGCAGCACGGCTGAGTGAGTCCGAGTGAGTTCGCTTGAAGTTCGCTATTTTTACAAGTGTGAGTCTAGCTCAGAAAAATTTTGATGTGCCTAAGTTCGAGTGAGTCCAAAGCGTGAAATGAGTGAGTCTGGGTGAGCTGCACAGGTTTTGCCAAGATATGATTATAGTAACTAATCCTAATTATATTGTAATTAAATATCAATTTATCCCAAAGTCATTAATGCTCTGCTTTAGCATAAATATAGTTAAATCTCAGGCTAGAATTAAGGAGCAAATGAATTTTTGGTCATGTCCATTTTGAGCAAAGAAAACACATACTTTTTACATGGCTCGAGAGAAAGTGGCTCATAAGAAAACTAGTTGAACGTGGTAGTGCCTCCAGAAAAGTTATCATATATGACATTGTGCTACAAAATGAAGTTAAATGAATGTCTATTTTGTGGGATGTTAAATTAATCCAAAGCTCAATATATCTTGCTCTATCTTATCATCTAGTTAGTATAAATAGCAGAAATAACTGCTATATAGAACTGTGTACATAGCAAATCAAATGGTTAAAAGCGATTTTAAGCTACTTTGAGTTCGATTACAATAGTAAGTTTTTCTGTAGTGAAAGTAGAGAAACGAAACTTGAGAAAGCAAATAAAAACAAAAAATATGTAATTTAGAAAGAAACTTGCATTTTTCGAATTGCATCTCCCCTTAAAGTATGAGTAATAAAGAATCAATTGAAATGTTTTTCCATACTCTTTCCCAATACTACTGCTTACAGAGATGGTTTTACAATGTACTTAGTGTGTGTGAATCTTGTTTAACCAAGACGTTACACAGGAGCAGAAGATGCAGAACACAGTTATTTTTTAAAAATGACAAAGGGTGGGAGGGTGGCATAGATATCATGTTATCACAAGCTAAAACAAAAAAAGGTGCGGTGAAATCTCACTGTTGTAAAGAGAATAATTATATGTGTATAGCTCAAAACTACACACTCTTCAACACATGGAACATAAATATGCAAAACAATAAGCTACAGCATACCTGTAAAATGCATGCGAATATTGAATGTAAAGGTACTAATAAGACGTATTGGTCATAACCGAAGGCAATGATGCCAAATACACTAGGCAGTTAATATCCTGTGCTGATAAAGACAAACACGACAAACTGGGTAAAGGTACTAACGAGACTGGGTTCAATACGTATGCAGTTTGCAAAGCTCCTTTCCCTTTCAATGATGCAGTCCATTTTATTTTTTACTATTCCCACGGCGCTTCTTGCCCAACATACTTCTTTTCTTTCCACTTAGCCGAGGCACAGTTTGGGTCAGTTTGGTGTTGTCTGGTTGTAGGGACAATGGCGATGCAGGCTGCAAGCTTAGACTCTTCTCAGAAGCAACTAAGCTTCCAGGCTTGTGGGCAGATTCACCATTAGCTGCAATAGATGAGCTGCTTGGGAGCTCATTGTTGGACAAAAGGAGCTCACTAACAGGCCGAAATGAGGTGTCATCGTCAGTGCCGAGGTCAAGGTGGCTTGGTGTGTATTGCACCACCTCATTAGCTGCAATAAAAAAACAAGTGAGCTGCAAGTCTTAAAAAAAAAAACAATAACTCGAGAGCGAAAAATGGCATGCATTTCTAAAGCACATTGGTGGGCTAGTTGGTTAGCATCCATGAAGTGTGAGTAAGCGCAAACAGACAAGGACGTAGAAGAGTATTGACAGATTGATTTGATTTATATAAGGGGTTTAACGTCCCAAAAGAAGAGTACTGACCTGGACAGAGTATTCTGTCCGTGTCAGAACTCTTTTTGGTCCTTGTCTGTTCGTGCTTACTCACACTTCAAGCATGTATTTGTCCCTGCACAACTCTTTAAAAGAGATCAATGTCTTTACATGTTCTTGGTGCATTTTCAGTCTTCTGGTCTTGATGGCAAAAGTTTTCAACAGGCTTTGCTTGACTTCAAAGTTACCTAAAGCACCAGCTTTCGTCATCTGTGATAATTTTTAAATGGTCTGAACGACTTTATTGAGACTTTAAAATTTTGGCACAAAGTCAAAGGAGTAATCTTTGTTGCTTTCTTTTTGTCCTCTATGAGCCGGCAGAAATGTTTGAGCACATGTCGAATACCATACTCAAAATTTACTAGCGAGAAATTCCCCTCACTCCAACAGCGTTTAAAATATTTGAAAGAGGTGAAGAATCTCATTAGCTTATTAAAACTTTTCAACATTCTCATAGGCACAACTGGCTAAAGGTTGGCCGAAATTATGATACAATAACACAATGGCTAAAGGTTGGCCGAAATTATGATAAGCATAAATTTTCATTTCTGCTCTTGTGACCGCTCAAACCACTTGAAGACGTGTATGCAGCGCAGTGCGTTCTTCATACTTGCCACATGAATTAAATGTGATGAGAAATCTTGATACTGGAAACGTTGCTTGAGTCAATATTACAAGAGGGCAGACATCATCAAGGCAGCAATTGCCTTCCTTAGCAGGGAGAGCATGCCCTGTGCTTTTTCCCGTATTTTTCAAAGATGGAGGAAGAGCAAAGCAGGCTTGTGCACAAAGAGAGGGCTATCGAAGATAGGAAATTTGGCTTCAAAAAGAGACAATGGGTGTTGTACAGTAAGAGAGGAACAAAAAGGTTGTACAGTTGTTGAATACCAGTTTGTTGTTGTTGTTGAATACCAGAAGCAGTGGCATTGTGCTTTATCTAAGAACCACTTCAGATTGTGGTCATCAATTTAAAATGACTAATACTTGATGAGTTTTTTTTTTTTCCTGCATGGCCTAACCAAAGCTTCTTTCCCTTCCCTTGCAAACATCTAGCCCAACTCCACCCCAACTCTTATTAATAATGAAAACGACACCCCAACTCTTATTATTAATGAAAAGCATGTTCCATTGGTTCAGCTTAGTATATGAACTACGTAATGATTGATATGTGGGGTTTAATGCCCCAAAACCACCATATCATTATGAGAGACGCCGTAGTGGAAAGCTCTGAAAATTTCGACCACCTGGGGTTCTTTAACGTGCACCCAAATCTGAGCACACGGGCCTACAACATTTCTGCATCCATCGGAAATGCAGGCGCCGCAGCTGGGATTCGATCCCGGACCTGCGGGTCAGCAGCCGAGTATCTTAGCCACTAGACCGCCGCGGCGGGATCTATATGAACTACATATGCACAAATATAAGTGCATCCACTCTTTCACATGAGAACTCGGTGTGTACAGTGTTCAGTGCTTTTCGAAGGCATGATCTATAGTAAAAACCAGAATATAGGTAGGACTGGAATATAGGTCGACCCCCCAAACTTTGAATCTCCAAAAAGAAATTTTTGAAAATTGCAAAGTATCGCGGCGCACCCTTACCTTGATAAATACGCGACATAACCAGCTGCACTGTGGTGACAATTCTTTTTATTTGGACACTAATCTTACGTAGTTAAACGCCAGAAGGCCACAAAGTGCTGTCACTCAGACTCATCCAAACTTGAGTCCGACGACGTCTGTTTTTCACTAGTAACGTCGCACAGTGCATCGTCCTCCGTTCCGTCCAATGCGTTACTGAAGCAGCGTTTGCGGAAAAACAGGAGTGCAACGCCTCAGTGCAAAGCCCTTCCGCCTCATATACCCAGAGCACCCACGATGGCGATCCCTTGAATTGCACCCTCGTGAGCTCCAAGTTGTGCATTACGTCAAGAGCTTTCACACAGATGCACTCCGGTGCTATGGGTGGCAACCTTGCACGCAGCTCCCGGACAAATTCGTCGAATAACGTTTCTAGTTCAGGGTGCACTGCAGTCCGTCCATGAAACGACATTTCTTTTTATTTGCTGCAAAATGTGATGGGCTGCTTTTGGCTCCTCCAGTATCGAATGCTTTTCTCTGATGCGCCTGTTGATTCCTGTTGTGCCACCAGGTTGCCATGTGCTTCGGCATACTTGATAACTTTTTTCTTAAAGCCTATCGTAAACTGCCATCAACTACCACTCATTTCTGAAGGAAATAGAAAAAAGAAAACAGCAGACTGACAGCAGATAACCGAAGCCGCGCCCGTCGCTACAGAGATCTGTCGAGAGCACCCACTGGCGCTATGCATTTCGTCGCTTACAGACAGGTATGAGCCCAAGTTGTGACAATGTCTGCGGTGGTGGGCTGGTTTGAACATGCCAATGTGGTCATGCCACAGTTATTTGTAAATAGCAAAAATTCTGCTTTGCATCTTTGGCCAGAAAGCAAGCGAATAAGGCGTGACTCTTTGCTGTTCCTGTCGATGATGAACGGCCTAGGACTTAGGGCCTGGAAGCGCGCAATTCCTCGTGCTGACAAGCCAATGGAGAACAAGTGTGTTATGTGGGAGGCTCATTTAGAGAACAGATTCATCGTCTGTCGTCATCATCATCAGCCTGAACACGTCCACTGCAGGACAAAGGCCTCTCCCATGTTCCACCAGTTAACCCGGTCCTGTGCTTGCTGCTGCCAATTTATACCCGCAAACTTCTTAATCTCATCTGCCCACCTAACCTTCTGTCTGCCCCTAACCCACTTGCCTTCTCTGGGAATCCAGTTAGTTACCCTTAACGACCAGCGGTTATCCTGTCTACGCGCTACATGCCCGACCCATGTCCATTTCTTCTTGATTTCAGCTATGATATCCTTAACCCTCGTTTGTTCCCTAATACACTCTGCTCTCTTCTTGTCTCTTAAGGTTACACCTACCATTTTTCTTTCCATTGTTCACTACGTCGTCCTCAATTTAAGCTGAACCCTCTTTGTAAGTCTCCAGGTTTCTGCCCAATAGCTAAGTACTGGCAAGATACAGCTGTTATATACCTTTCTCTTGAGGGATAGTGGCAATCTACCTGTCACAATTTGAGAGTGCTTGCCAAATGTGCTCCACCCCATTCTTATTCTTCTAGTTACTTCAATCTCGTGGTTCGGCTCCGCGGTTATTACCTGCCCTAAGTAGACATAGTCTTTTACAACTTGAAGTGCACTATTACCTATCTCAAAGCGCTGCTTTTTTCCGAGGTTGTTGGTCATTACTTTCGTTTTCTGCAGATTAATTTTAAGACCCACCTTTCTGCTCTCCTTGTATCACTCCGTAATCATGAGTTGCAATTCGTCCCCTGAGTTACTCAGCAATGCAATGTCATCGGCGAAGCGCAGAATACTTAAGTACTCTCCATTAACTCTTATCCCTAACTGTTCCCATTCTAGGCCTCTGAAAACCTCCTGTAAGCACGCAGTAAATAGCATTGGGGAGATTGTGTCCCCCTGCCTTACACCTTTCTTGATTGCTATTCTGTTGCTTTCTTTATGAAGCACTATAGTAGCAGTTGATCCCCTGTAGATTTCTTCCAGGATGTTTATATATACTTCATCGACGCCCTGATTCCGCAGTGTCTGCATGACGGCTGATATTTCTACTGAATCAAACGCCTTCTCGTAATCTATGAAGGCTATGTATAGTGGTTGGTTATATTCTGAGCATTTCTCTATTACCTGATTGATAGTATGAATGTGGTCGATTCTTGAGTAGCCTGTTCGAACTCCTGCTTGTTCCTTTGGTTGATTGAATTCCAATGTTTTCTTTACTTTGTTAGCAATTACCTTTGTAAATAGCTTGTATACTACAGAGAGCAAGCTAATCGGCCTGTAATTCTTCAAGTCCTTGTCATCTCCTTTCTTATGTATTAAGATGATGTTAGCGTTCTTCCAAGACTCTGGTACTCTTCCCGTCAGGAGACACCTCGTAAACAGGGGGGCTAGTTTTTCTAACACAATCTGTTTTCCATCTTTCAGCAGATCTGATGTTACCTGATCCTCACCAGCAGCTTTGCCTCTTTGCATGCTCTCCAAAGCTTTTCTGACTTCTTCTATCATTACTGGTGGGGTGTCATCTGGGTTACTGCTAGTAATTATAGCATTAAAGTCGTGGTTGTCCCGGCTACTGTACAGATCTCTGTAAAACTCCTCCACTATTTTAACTATCCTATCCATATTGGTAGTTATTTTGCCTTCTTTGTCCCTTAGTGCATACATCCGATTTTCGCCTATCCCAAGTTTCCTCTTCACTGCTTTGACGCTTCCTCCGTTTTTCAGAGCGTGTTCAATTCTCTCCATGTTATACCTTCTTACATCGGATACCTTACGCCTATTAATCAACTTCGAAAGCTCTGCCAGTTCTATTTTGTCTGTTGTACTTGAGACTTTCGTGATTTGACGCTTCTTAATGAGATTCTTCGTTTCCTGGGTAAGCTTGCCAGTGTCCTGTCTAACTACCCTGCCTCCAACTTCCACTGCACACTCCGTAATGATACTCGTCAGATTATCATTCATTGTATCTATGCTAAGGTTGGTTTCCTCACTAAGAGCCGAGTACCTGTTCTGAAGCAAGACTCTGAATTCCTGTACTTTCCCTCTCAGTGCTAGCTCATTGAGTGGCTTCTTGCGTATCAGTTTCTGTCGTTCCTTTTTCAAGTTTAGGCGAATGCGAGACCGTACCATTCTATGGTCACTGCATCGTACCTTGCCAACCACTT